AATTTACACGATGAGTAACGGATAATACGTTCAGATATCATGCGAGGTTGTAAAAAACGTGTTTTGGTTCGGTCATACACGCATAACCGTGTAGCCGACCTCGATAACACGCACCGCCCCGGCGACGACCGCGGCATTGCCGGCTATCGAAGCACCGGAATGCTTGGGGACACACTTAGAAAGGACCGTCGAGACAAATGCCGCGGAAAGAAACATGTCTCGGAGACAGATATGCACCAAAAGCAATTACGCCATGTCGCGGGACGTTGGCGAAACCCGCGCTAGGCTACCCGCGCTTACTGTGCCCGCCGCCATTTTCTGGTCGATGGCAATGCGGCTTTCCTCATGTCGCCCATTTTTGCATTTAGTTTAGGAGTCTTGATAATAGTTTCTTACACACCACAAATAAAGGCATGGGTCTAAATGTTCGTTACAAACAGTTAAAATGGATATAAAAAGCGTGTCTTCGATGTGAACACGTGACATTGAGTTGGTTTCGTTTTTTCTTCAACATTCAACTGCAAGCGACCTGACCACGGCGCAAGCGCAACGCCGTTGTATGGTGGAAGCAAGAGCCGGTTGGCTTTCGTTCTTTTTGTTTGACCGGAGAAAATCTGGCAACTACGCATGGCGCCGCTATTGTTTTGGTTTGACGGGACGCGAGAAGCTTCGCGTAGAGCTGGTAGAGCGGTAGAGCTTCGCAGTTTGCGAGCAGATAGTGAAGACTTGACCGGAGGGGTGCCCCTGTGATGTTCCCGGAAGACGGAAAGTACCATTCGTCGTGTGTGCTTTGAAAGCGAAGGGAGTCACAGGTTTCACGAGTGCGCAACCACAAGCCAAGGTTCACGAGAGCGCTGCGTTGACTTCGGCGATCTCGTTCTGCTCTGGACAACATGGCAATGCGAGAAAGAGCCGAAACGTTCGTGGTGTGTGGTGCGGTGCTTGAAGGTAGAAACCCGCACTAACACGGAGCTCATATTGGTTGTTGTGGGGTTGCGTTTGACGGGTTCAGCCCCGTCGTCGTCAGCTGATCCGGTCCAGCTGTTCCGGGAGGACGCAGCGAGCGTTTTTAAAAGTAAATCGTCCTTCGTTCCGTTTCAAAATGTGGAAGATTCCCGACGCATACCGTGAGTAAAATGCTGCGGGCGTTTTCAACAAAATTACGTCGTTTTAATTGAACAAGAGACTTCGGATAGTTGTCCTAACTCTGCCGTTTTTATGCTTCGTGTCGTTGGACTGCATTTGCACAGCGACGTGTTCGCACAGCGACGCACACCGCTCGAGTAGATGATTCGGTCCCGCAAACGACCGGTTATACCGAATTTCAGGGAAACTTAAGTCACCACCGATGTTTTCCTGTGAATCTCGTGTGACTCGTGTGAGTTTGTTGCGCTCATCATGCGGTGTGAATAAATTAGGGCAAGATTTTCTACCTGCCCACAGACGCATGAACTGAGACCAATTTTTTACGTAGTGAACATAGTGCTTTTTCTTTACTTTGGGAAGAGGCCCGAATTTGTCTCTTTTCCTTCTGGCACTGCCCCAAGTTTCTAGTTGCAGTTTCAGTATACATACCTACTAACAGGCACAAACTGCTCTAAAGCAGGTAAAAGACTGGGAAGTCAGGACGGTGCGGACACCGTGTTTTGCGCTTCTCGCAAGGTGTCTGATGCTTTTGCGAGGTATGCGGAATATGCAAACGATTTTGTTATGCCCGTCGTTTGAGTCTCCAGAAAAACGAATAAGATTATCTACAAATTTAGGCGCAATCACAAGCCAAGATATACGATAACAGTGCGTTCGCTTCGGTGGTCCGTGTAGTGGTATTATACCCTGCTTTCTGCAACACCGTGTCATGACGAAGAGCTGGAACGGTCACGGTCTGTGCTGGGCCACCGGTTGACAGAAACCCGCATCGCCCGCATCGGCACCGAGTGCACTTGGGCTGTTGATGCTCAAGTCTTTCATACGCGGCTTGTCGCCAGCTGATTTTGCTGCTAGACGGTGAGGAAGCCGCGAGAGTGACCTCTGAAGTAAATGTAAATCCTCGTTCATTCAGTTATCCAGTGTCAACGTGTGGAAGATGTCCAACGTGTACTGAGGACGGGAACTACGAGCGTTTTGCCTTGCTTTTATAACCGAAACCAGAGCAGCGAGATAGTTGCCTTGCGTACTCCAAAATGACGCAAGCAATATGTTTCAACAGGTCGAGTACGTCACCGCGGATGTAGGCGAGACGGCGCACACTGTTTAAACGCTTGCAGTACCCACGAGTGCTACCAGAAAAACGACGTTAACAGAGAAGGAGCTCGCGATTCAGCAGAATGCAGTGCCACGAGCCCGTGAATTTTCAATGTCGCTATAAAGAAATATTTAAAAAAAACAAAAAAAAAAACGCATCAGCGCCACATTAGTGATCATGAATAACACCGGTCACAAAGTCCCAAGCCTCACCGCTCCACTCGACACCAACACGACATGCGACAACAATCTGCATCAAAACGCCCCAAAAGTGAAGGCGTCTGCTCCCGTACCCGTACTGCGCGTACTACAACTAGCGGAAGTGAAGTGTTGGGCGGATGTCCTTCACAATAATATATATAATAAATGCCTTGCGTAAGTATAATTTCCACTGATTATCGAATACGTACTGATAAAATCCCAATCATTTGTTTTTCTATCTGATTCAAGCTAGCCGGACTGCTCATAACACTGGTCGAGCATGAAAATAACAAAAATTTGAACTTTTCCATTGCCGGTTTAAGATTTATTGTTAGTACATCGTTGTTTTTCGCAGCGAACCAACTTTATAGATTTTGCCTCCATACTTTTTAAATGCAAACAGTTCTTACATACGGCTGTCCATTGTGCCGTGTTTTGTGTCTTCTTCTATAAATCTGTAACGGTCAGCGACCAAAGAGCTCACCCGCACATGTCAAGCTTATATACGCCGCGGGGAGAGTCCGTTGATAGTAGGAAGTGTCGGGCGTAGTGTCGGTGTTGTGTTTGTGTATGTGTCGCTGCTGTGTCCTACGTGGTGCTCGTGTTGTCTGTGATGTATGTTGAGTTGCAGTTTACTCGTGGTAGTTCCCAGCGTATTAACAGACTACTGCTGTTTTTTTCATTGGTTGCTAGAAATCTCACTAAGTTACCTCCCGATTCCAAGTAGTTTGCTTGAGCTATTTATCCATGTAAATTTGATATTTTTTTTTTTTTTTTTTGTTTTGTTTTGTTTTGTTTAGCGGTTTTGTTGTAGCTGCCGACGCCACCGACCGCCGACGACGCACGTACGTACCTTTGCACGTAGCTACGTCCGCCGCTTGGAGACTGTTTACTCTGCATAAAAGACATCGAACGAGAACGAACGCGTCCCGTGTGCTTTCAGTTCGTCTGAAAGGCGCGGCTCGCTGGGCTCGTCTCTCGCCTGTTCTCGGCTGCTGGCCGCCATGTTTCATAAGGAACACGTTGAACCGTGCTTCTCGGAAGGCAAACACGGTGTAGCGTGTTAAGTTTACACAGCACCTCATGTGTAGACGAAAAACACAGATGGCCTCGTGTAAAACGAACACGTTTCGACGTGTCCGCTATGGGACAACGGTTTACACGTCTGGGCGTGTTATTTTTGCTAACAGTGTATTGGAGGCACTGCAGTTGAAGAAATTCTTCCACGAGCCCTCTCGTCGCTGGGGCCCTCCATCTCTCCATTCTTCACTGGCAGATTGACCAGACGCTAAATCCAGCGTCACGTGCGCTGCCTGGTGACTTTTTTTTTTAGCTTGAAGTGCAGCGAAAGCTGTGGGCGCAAAGGTGGGGACTTTACCATCGAGACTTAGTGAAGGTAATTGATGTAAATGTATTTTACTATATTGCAACTAATATGACGAAAGTTGCCACACTAGTTGTTACCAAATCAAGATATATTAAAAAAAACCTAAGGGAGGAAAAAAAAAAAAACCCCGCTAAATACGGATGCATTCTTATAGATTTCGTTTTTCTATCGAAGCGCATCATAACGCCAGTGTTCTCAGCTGACCCCATGGCCGAGCCGAGAAGTTACCGCCTCGCCTCCCTCGTAGGGAGGGTAGGGAGAAAGGAAGTATGGCGCACGTGCGTTGCGCGCGTTGGCCTCCATTTGGTATTGACGTTCGGGCTGCAAGTGTTTATTACTGCACTGATATGAGTGGTTGTGCTTGTATTTCTGTTTTAGTTTTAGCCTCGCAAGCATCTATTAGCGCAATAATGTGAGTTGCTGTGCTTGTGTTTCTATTTCACCGTCGTTTACGACGTGAAATCCCCCATCACACTCCCCAGGGGAGTGTGATGGGGGATGAAGCGTACTTGGTTTGCCATTCCGATGAATTGTCTCAAACAGCGCTCAGGGTGAAGCGGAAGCGGTGTTCTACAAACGCGGGCTAAATCGTTCCTGCTTCGTGTCTGCTTCTGCAGAGAGCGCGTGAGGGGCCGGCACGCGAAACGCGCTGGGCTCGCGCTTCTAACATTCTAGCATTATCGGCCGTCGGGTTTGTGCGACGGCCGATAATCATGATGTTGATTATGGCTGCGCCCAAGCGCCACCTAGACACTGTCACACACGGCGTCAGGAGTTTGTCGCTCTGCAACAGCAGCTTTGTGTCCTGATTGTCTTCTTTTTGCACAAATCAGAAAGGGTAGTTAGAGCCTTATTAGGAGTAACAAAGTTACGATTACAACTCCTTTTAGTGTTGCCCTGTTACGTTAATATTCGCAATTAAATATCACTACTAAAGATAATTACGTTATCATAGTAATTAAATTGCTGTCATTGTGTTCGAACATAAAATACTTTGAACCGCGATTCCGGCCAAGAGTGAATTCCCAGCTTCGAGTGATGGCTTCAGGGTGCACTGGCGGCGACGAGTGCAGCGACATAGGGCAGCCACACGAGAGAGAGAGAGAGAGTACTTTAAGACATGCTCACCCCCCCAGGGGTAACCACCAGCGTTCGACTTCCGTCTGCCCAGGACCACCTGGCCCCGACCGACACCGTGGAGCTGGTGTTCCGGAGCTGCAGCCACCTCAACCTGCCCTTGTTTGTCCAGTTCATGGCCGTCGAATACCTCGACAGGTGGGCGGAGGGGCACTCCGGGGACAGGGAGCGCTGCTCTCACCACTCAACAGGCAGGAAGTATATTTCCTAGGTTACAAAATTAACACCATCGAGGTTTTCACTGAAAGTTTTTATTATTTACCAACTTTCTTCTTGTGTATTATAATTTCCTTGATCATGCAATTGAAATCCAATTCGAAGATCTCCTTTAATTCCTTTATAATTTTTGCTTTCTCATTAATACCAGTATTTCATTCCATAAAATTTATATAACTGTATTATTCTGAAATTTTACTCTATACTTAAGTTCCAATAATTAGTTTTATCAATAAGTAAAACATATATTTATGTTGTGAATAAGTGTTTAAAGCTCTTGAAATGTGTTTATTAGTTATATTCAATGGAAATTCTCTTTTAAATTATGTCATATCCTTTTATCCTTTGATACAAATAAAATGATGTAGTTTAGTTTATTTTCAGCACTATACTGAAATACTATTTGGATAATAGCTTTTCTTGACAGTGTAAATTTATTTTTACCTTTTTCCCGTAATTGCTTTTCTTGAGTATTTTGAAAATCATCCATACCTACTAGACTTCGTTTAGATACATCAAATTTTATAAAATCTATCATATCATTTTTATTATCACTAAAATGCTCTATCCTCGAAGTGTATCCTTTCACTTAGATTTTTATAAATATTCTGAAGGAATTGACATTTGTTTTTCATTTAACATTTTGTAATATATACAGAAAGAATATTATAATAAACATGAACCAAAAGTAAATTGTAAACATAATTTGTTTTTCCTGAATCACTTGGACCATACACTATATCTCTGGATGGCCATATAGGTGATAGTTAATACATTACCATTGATATATTTTTATATGCGCTTTGAAGTCATTTATATAATAACTGATTTATCACAGGAATAAATTAACCTGAAATATTTCAAATAAATTAACTATATTTGAAAGAAGTTAGGCATGCTTAAAATAAATGAAATGTACTTCAAATTTACCTTTACTTAGAGCAAATGACCTTTACTTGAAATAATTTACTTAAATTAAGTTACTCGAAGTAAATAAATTGAAAAAAATACGTATGTAATGAATCCAGAAACATATATAAACTTAAGAAACATTGTAAAGAATGAGAAACCCATTAAAGATCGACTTAAAAATAAGAAAGAAACGAAATAATAATTAAGAAATGGTATAAAATTGTTTTTAGAACAAGCTACAAAAAAATTAAAGATAGACTGAGAAGATAAAAAAAAATTCTTGAAGTTGCACCATTTTTAGATAAGCAGAATGAAGCAAGTTTGCAAGCCATTAGTACTCCTAGACAATTAGATCCGACGCAATAGACATTTCCACCAGCAAATTTTAATGTTTGTATAAAGTTAGACCAAATTAATAAAGCGTTTAATCGTGATTACTATTCAGATCTTGAACTTTGTGAGAGCTTTTAGTGCGTATCGAAAAAATAAAGATATTCAGCTTAGACATGTGATAGAGAATTATTAAGCTAGAAAACAATCATTAGATGGTAAAAAAGGAAGTCTAAGAAGTAAACAAGAAACTACTCATGCAGGGGTGAAGAGAGTCCAGAATATGAATATAAAGTTGTTGATGGTAGTCTAAACTTTCTTGAAAAGTTCAATGATGATATGAGAAACTTAATATATAATGATGAAAAAATCACTGGAATATGATGAAATACAACTCTTGATGACCTAGCTTATAGAAAAATTATATTACTATAAAATGTATTATTTACAGAATCATATATTTAATAAAACGCTTTAAATTATTTTATTTATTTATTTGTTTATTTTATTTTACGTGTTCCAACACAACCATGCAGGCCTGCTCTTTGGCCCACAAATATATAAATATGAACAGAAAAAAAACACAATTGCAGGTTTCAAACACATAGCAACAAACACATAATACTTAAAGTTCGGCAACAAGCACTTTCACTTGGTTCCTGAACACCTTAATGTCACTGTATATATCAAGTTCGGTATTTTCAATATTGATAAACAGATTGTATCCGTGACAGAGGAGATGTTTCACAGATGGTGTGAATGCTGAAAGTACTGCTAGATATACTGTTACATTTCCCGAGACTCAGAAGTTGAATAAACACAGGGAATATCTTAGAGCATTGAAAGGATGTGCAATCGCCTACACATGGCATAATAGGTACATAAAAAAAATAATTTAAGATGAAGGAGAATAACAACAAATAACAATTGATAATCGCAATCATAATTGTGATTCTCTAAATTATAAATGGTCAAATATTTCAATATGCATGAGGAAGATATTCCAATTTTATTTTTAGAATTACTAAAAGAGTATCAGTAACTTTAAGGAAAGTTTGGAAAGTGAATTTGAGAGATGGAGAAATCAATTTGAGAAAATTGGATTGAAAATATATACTGGAAGTAATGAGAAGGAAACTCAGGTAATCGGTGATTTTCCAGCAAATATTGGAACGGAACTCAGAACAACATTTATTCATTGTTGTTTACTTAAAGATTCTCACTGATAGGATCCAAACAATAACAGAATTGTAAAAATTATTTGGTTTACATATTTGTTCCGATCGAAGAACTAAATTCATGGTATTTAGTCGAAACCCAACGAAGAAATTCGAGATGCACTATACTGAGAATATTGAATTCTACGTAAACATTACAAATCAAAGATAAAAAATTTACAAAGAGAAATGTTTAATTGCGTTAAATATATAATTTGAGCCAAAGTTATAAAAATGAGATAATAAATGGTTTTAACTACTAACCCTCGTCTATACTTTCGTGTACATTCAGACGACGTCTACTATGTTATGCAAATTGTAACGGTTTAATAAAGATCGTTTTGAACCCCGAACTGCCCCTTTCGTCGACCGTAGCCTCACTCAGCCGCTTGTCTTGTGGATCGAGTACTCTGTCTTGATGTTTCTTTCGCTTCATCGCCTTCTTTCCGTGCTACACCTTCTCCTCCCGTGGGAAAGTTCACGACCAGTGAATAAAGATAAAGTTACGGAAGCGTGCCGGTAGAGAGAGATTTGAACGGTTTCGCAGTTTCTTAATAAATCCAGTGCTGGACGTCTCACTTGGCAGGGGTAGCGTCTGTTGTGTTTCGATAGGTTCGACTTGATTCCCGGTTATCATTGGCGACGATGCTCGGGGTTCGACGTCTTCACTATGTACAGATTTCGGCATTTGGGTCACTTAGTATTTCAGATGACTGATGTTCCGGCGTTTCTTCCGTCATCATTCCGTTAAACAGGCTGTCATTGCAGATCGCTTCAGCACTGCTAGAAAACTGCATCGTTTCTTGACATGACTAATGCAAGTCAGGCGGGGGGTCATTTCTTGCCGTAGGGGGCTGTTCATTATGTTGAAAAGCAATGCGCGCGTTCCGCGTGTCTTCCTCGGATTTAAACAATGCAGGTGGACAGTCATCTGTTCCATGTGGTTGCCGTTCTGGTTCGGAGATAAAAGGAACGTCGCAGGAACCTTCTGTAGCACTTCCGCCTGCAGGTAGGCCACTGTCGTTGAGTTGTCTATTGCACCCAGATCTTTGGGGTCGCCGATAAGGTTTCAGTCTGTTATGATGCGTCTAGAGGCCTTAAGCTCAATCCGAAACGTTGTTTCTGAAACTTTCTTGACACCAATATAGGGTCCCTGCTATGGGAAGTGGAGTTTTTACAATTTGCCCCGTTTCACCGCTGGGCAGTGAAGTAACGCTTCGTCGCTTACATTAAAATCTTGTTCGTGAACGTTTCAGTCGTAATATTGTTCCTGACGGTGCTCTGCTTCGGCGTTATGCAGTGTAGCAGTGCATGTGCCATCTGCAAACTTTGAGTTTGCCGAATGTGTTGTCTTGCCGTGCTAATGACGTGTTCCATCGCACACGTCAGAAGATCTGCTTGCAGCTTCACATCTCTGCCGAAGACAAGGTTGTGCTGGGTAAACCCGGTCGGCTCGTGGACACTAAACCGGTATGAGATCCCAATTCGTTCGTGATTCATCGACATAGACGCTGGGCATGGACAGAAGCGTCCTGTTAAATATCTCAAACAACCCGTTTGATTGCGGATGATAAGCGGTAGTTCTTTTTTTTCTTATTCCTAACAAGTGGCACACTTCTATAAAAAGTCGGCTTTCAAACGTTCTTCCTTCGTCCGAGTGAAGACTTGTAGGGACTTCTAAACGACAGAAAAAATTGCGGATAAGGCAGTCAGCAAGTTATTTGGTCTCTTGGGACTTAAGTGGAAAAGCCTCGACCCACCGCATGGAGTGATCGGACACAAGTATGTACTTGTTTTCTTGTGCTGTAGTTGGGAGGGATCCCGTGATGTCCGCGCCTATCCTTTCGAATGGGAATGCTGCGGTGTGCGTGACGAGTGGAGCTTTCGCACAGTAGTGAAGAGACTTCCTCGCAGTGCATTCTCTGCAATTCGAGCACCACGATGCGACGTCCTTCTTTATACTGAACCTGAAGAATCTTTCCCTGCCTTTATGAAGTGTCTTTGTTTGACCAAGGTGTCCACTTGTTATGGTGTCGTGGACAGGCGCTAAGACTTCCGGAATCCAAACACGATGAACTGTCACAACCCTTGAGTCGTCACTCCTAGACAGAAGGCACTGGTCGACCAGTGATAGTTACCTATCTTCCCCAAGACTCGCAGAGCGGTAGGGTCCGTGACTGTCTCTACGGCTTGCCCCTCGGGTGCTTGCACGACAAGGGATAACAAAGGATCGGCCCTCTGAGCATGAGAGAGTGAAAAGAGTTTCGACTGTTGTGGAGCAGTCAGAAGCTGGCACGCCAGTGGATGGTCGTCGTGACATCGAGTCTGCATTGCTGTGTCCCTTGCCTGGTCGGTGCTCAACTCGAAAGTTGCATTCTCTTAGCTTCTCGAGCCAGCGTGCAACTTGGCTTTCAGAATTCTTGAATGTTTTAAGACATTGGAGCGCGCTACGATCTGTCTTGC